GCTTGTGAGGTTTTTTTTGTATGAACCCATGAGAATCCGACTTTGTATTTCAATTAACACCAACTTTATACTTCTGGAACTGTTGATATTTTACCGATTTAATGCGTCATTTCTTGTTTTTTTTTTCAAATTTCCACTAAAATATTTGGGCATCATCGCACTTGCTGGTTTGTCAGTTTGCAGTCTTTGTGGACTGACCTTCCAGCCCCACTTGGAAAAGCTATTCCCCTCCTGGTGACGCTCGTGGTTGTTGGTGACCCGGTAGTTGTGGATTACTCTCGTACAAAAAAAATCTAATTTCCAGTCGTTTCTAAATAGTTCTTTTGTTTTCCTTAATAGGTGTTAGTGTACTGTCTTTATGAAGATCAGCTAAACCTGGAGTCGGGGGAAAAACCTCATCTGGTGCGCGTGCGCAAGACGTATGCAGACGTAGCGGACGCCTGCTATAAATCCGGCGGCACCGTTCTGAACATTATGCAAATAATCGACGTCATAGCCGTGGCGGCGCTCTACCTCGAGCTGGCGGGGTCGCTCATGGTGGACACCTTCTCCATGTCGGGGCTTTCCAAACTCACCTGGACCGTCCTGTGCGGTGTGTTGCTCCTGCCGACCATCTTCTTCCGGCACCTGACCAAGATCTCGTGGCTGAGCTGCTTCGCGGTTTTATCGCTAGTCATCATGTTCTTTAGCGTGGTGTGGTACAGTCTTGGCAAGAGCATTGTGTGGGATATCACCAGCGTGCCCGCCTTCAACCTCCAGCAGTACTCGGTCAGCGCCTCCATCATCCTCTTCAATTTTGGCACCCAATTCATCATGCCCGGCGTGGAGGACAGCATGAGGAACCGAGCCCAGTTCAACCGCATGGTCAACTGCACTTACTTTATCACCGGCGTGCTGAACATCGCCTACGCCCTATTCGCGTACCTTTCATTCGGTCTGGAGACGAAAGAGTTTATCACCTACAACATGCCTCTGGGACCGCTCCAGGCAGCTGTTAGCATGTTGTTTGTCATCAAGTCCCTCCTTTCCTATCCCCTAATGCTGTTTCTAATCGTCAACTCTGTGGACTCCATGAAGCTGTCTTTCCTACCGCCCTGCAGCGGAGCGACCCCCGATCGCATGCCGCCCGCATGGGCCATGATATTTCGTGCGCTCCTCGTCCTCTTCACGTTGTTTCTTGCTGTAGTCGTGCCACATTTTACACTTCTGATGGGTGTCACCGGCAGCTTGACGAGTCCGTGGCTAGACTTTATATTCCCCTGTCTATTCTACCTGAAATTGAAAAGGAAGTCGCTTGCATGGTGGGAAGTGGTTATAAATTGGGTCATTGTAGGGGTGGGGCTTGTAGGAGGCGTAGTTGGTTTGATTTATTCGATGAAAGCATTAGTGAATGCTTACGCAGAAGATTTTAGTTAGATGAATTTAGGAAAAGATTAAGATTTAGTTAATACCCATTTGGAAAATGTTCAGATAATTTCAGATATTGCCTGCCATGTAATACCGTTATAAGAGTCTATCTAATGTTGTCTTCAAGACCACCAGTGTATACACCATGTATACACGAAACATTGACGTGTAGTGGCAAACAGTAATGAATTATTATGTCCGGCTGCAATTTTTGAAATAACATTACGTTGACGTTGTAGCTAATGGATAATTAGTGACCACGTTGCCACAAGCAAAGAGTTGATATTTCTGTGTTGTATATGTGTTTTCTCGAAACTTACACGCATTACTCAACAGTCAGAGATAGAAATAAAAGTGCATTTGATGAGGCGCGCCCGATGAATCCGCATCGATCAGAAGCAACCCCCCATCGGTTGAATAGAACTGCGTTGGTTGGGAGTATTCATTTTGCTGGTAACAATCCGACTGCAACGCTTGAGTTTCATAGTCGGTTGTGAACCAGCGATGCGCAGTTACTCCCTTAAAACCGTTTCAAAACGAGTGGATTCGGCTTAGACTTTTGTTTCGCTGGTCCCAGCCATTTTGAAGCAGTGTTCAAAACCATATGTTCCACCTCCGACTGGCACCAGCGAAACTGAAGTCTAAGCCGCAACCACTTGCCACTCGTTTCGAGAACGATCTACGGCACCTCCGTTGCTACGGAAGTAGCGCCCTCTCTTGGTCCAGCTCGACGGTGTTTTGGATATTTTGGATTGTCTTATTATTTTTTTGTGTGGAACACGCACTGCCTAGAGTTCTCCTGAACAGCAACGAGAGGTCAGCACCCGTGTACGCGTGATCTGCGCCGACTGATTGTACATAGCGACAAGAAGTAAACCATAATGAGCCAGTCCGGTATTTCAAAATCCTAAGTTCCCCGTGAGTCAGCGTATGGCCTGGCTGCGTCGATAGGACGTGTGCGACTAGCCCTGTCAATTTGCATGCTGAATATTTTAGTTTTGTCAGACCAAAAGCAATGCTTTGACATGAATTATATTTCGGCGGGGATCGAGGCGAATAAAACACAAGTATACCCATCCTTGCTAAGCCTCTGTTAATCACAATGTGGTAATGTATTTTTCAATGATTATCGTCAATAAATCATTTTATTTCAAATCAGCGGTTATTGTTTTGAATTTTAGATAAAAGAAAAATTTACGGTGAAGTCATTTTCCGCAACAAAGGAGAGAAAAAAACACAATATGTTATCAGCTACTGTTTGATTTGTGCATTCAGCGGGCAATGTTTCCTCATTTACATAAACTCGGCAGGATTCTGCCTGATTTATTATCCACTACAGGTCCCTACGTTCGGAGGACGTCTGTAAAGCCTGGTTTCCATAAATCGTTTGTAGACGGTCTGCAAGACGTGAAGACGCAGACCAGGCACGAACAGAATTTTAACGGTACATGACATCATTCCACCCAACCTCGACTCCATGGCTGCACGCGTAATGTTCCTTCACTAGCCCAGCCGTATCCGGTTTGTAAGTGACTTCGTCACAAAGGTGGACGCACCACGATTTGCAGACTCTCATTGGACAATCGCTGAAGTTGCGGGTTAATTTCCGGTTCCATGGTCCCATGTTGACGGCGATCAACGCATGTAACCCTATGTGCAGTGGGCGTGGTTTAAACAGAAGAGACGTCACACTTACGAACCGGATTAATTCCCTTGCACGTCACGCACGCAAAAATCTGCGTCGCTCGTAAACACACTTACTAGTCTTAATTTAAAAATCCCAAGTAGTGGGATATTTAAATTATACAATACCAAGGCTTAGATCGCGCAAGGCATGGTGGGAACCAATTGGCGCGGGAAGATCGTTCCCATTGAAACGAGGTTGCATTCCAACCAAAAAATGAAAAAAATGGCGTCCGAAACTCTGCGATTTTTTGTGGAAAATACCCTTTTAGATTTACTGTATCGGCTCATAATGCCAAACCTGTACTCCAGTTTCATGAATTTCGTTGATGGTCAGCTACTTAGTTGATCATGAGGGTGCAATATTTAAGCATTAAGGAGAAAATGGGCAAAATTTGTGGAACTAAGCGAGAGAGGCATCGTTGCACACCGTACCGGTCATGCCAGCATGTGTGTTTATATGGGGATACCACGGCTACTCGACGCAGACAGTCGGTAAAGTTGACTGGCTCAACTTTGCAAATCGTTCGCGGGCTGGTTTACTTTTGTTTGTGTTGTTGGCGACACCTCCGTTTGGCATGTTTCCATATGTCCGCGTTGCAGTTTGCATCTTGATTGTGCTGCTGTCTGCGTTTCTTCGACATGGAAACCAGGCTTAAGACATCTGGAGACAACGTACGGGGCAGGAACCAGTCTATAAAGTGAAGAGGACCCCCAGACGTCAGGGATCAACCAATTTTTATATCAGGACTGTCTAGAAATTTGGAAATTATCAGCCACATCTCTGTCCACAACTTGAAGAGCTTGACGGGAAATGTCCTCCTCGATTAGATACTTTCAATGAGCCTTCATGAATTTTTGAAGTAATATCTCTTTGTCACTTACACTGTGATAACCATTTTCACGAGATTTGCAATCTCATGCAAGTCTGGACGCCAAGAATCGTGCAAACTCGATCTTTTCTTTCTTTACTTCTTAATAGAGAGGGTAGGGTACTTCATCACCAACAGCACACTGTAAAATAGTAGTAGCAACCGTTAAAGAAATGTTTGACAGATTCGGTTACAACTTTGAACCTGTTGGCCTTCAAACCAAATCATGATTCTGAGCTTGCACCAACTAGGCACTATACTATAATTAATGAAGCTGAAATTTCAGGGGGCTGAGTCTGCCCCTTGGCTGTGATGGGAAAACTAGTCTTAAGAACCGTAGGCATTGATAGATAGTTGGTTTTACCTTCATATGTTTTAACACTTGCTGTCCAGTGCATTTTTAGCTCTCTGTGAAGTTTGATAAAACCATTACAATTGTTGTGTGGATTTCTTGATCAGGTTTTGAAGCATTTATTGAACATGTTTGCATTTAACTTCCAATCTATACGAGCCTTTTCAGGCTTACCAATGAATATTTTGTAATTATTAAAGTCTCATAGTTTCCTTAGTTGAATTATATAAATTTCTGACAAATAGAGGCTTTTATATATATGAAAGAAGACTCTAAATAATAACATCTGAATAAAATATAAGTTTGCAGCTGCACGTGAGAATTTATGTTGATTAATGACTATATTGCCATGCATTAAAAATCACATATTAGTAACAAAAGTTCACATTCTTTCCTAGCATCACAGAATTAAAAAGAAATCATGAAGGAACACGTCACAGCTACAACATGCAAAGCATTGTGAATTACTTGCTGTCGGCTGTCCTTATCAACGCATATAATATAATCTGCATGAGTTGCACTATTATGGTTGCACACGTGTAATGAACATGACATAACGGTGTTGACCCGCGTTACTCATGTTCCGAATTCCAACGAGTGCTCGACAAAAATTACGTCGCGCATTTGTCAAACGCCCAAGGATGGTGAGGTAGAATCCAATCATAAACAAAAACATGGGTCGACACTTACACATGCGCGTGTGCGTGCGCACAAAATTTGTATGCACGGACGACGGCAGTAGGTAGCTGACAGTGCTTTTCTACGTCTGCGTCTATGGCTTATATGCCCTTCCCGAGGGCAGTGGGGGTGAACAAATACGAAGTGGTGCATAAGTACATGTACTCAAGAAATAACAAGCAACTTCATTTTATTTTCCTATGATAATGATCTACATGCAAATATGGGTGTTAAGACTGACCACACATCTTGTGCACTACGGGTGTTTCCCAGTAGTGCGCCTCCAAGAGTTTGCAATGCTTTGGCCAATCACAATGCGCGAGAAGGTGAACAGATTTCGTGCATTGTGATTGGCCAACACGTGGCAAGCTCTTGGAGGCGCGCTATTATGAATGTCCCGTATTCCGTTTTACTATACAGTTTGTACAACTATACTACTTTACTTTAGCCAATTGGAATGCAATACTGTCTCAAAGAGTGACTTATAAGATAAATAACAAGGTCCCAACTTGAGTGATTTAGAACTAAATCATGCTACTCTTTAGTTAATGTTGACGTTTAACACGTATAGTAACTCAGCGAGACACCGGTTTGTAAGTGTGACGTCGTGTCAGCTCAAACTATGCCCATAGCACCAGCACATAGAGCTCCATGCAACTGGAAGTTAACTTGCAACTTGAGTATGGTGTTCTAAAGCGGACAGGCAAATGTCGTGTGTGTGAGTTTGAATGTCGTGTTTGTGGGTTTGAACGTCGTGTTTGTGAGTGGTCAGGGCCAATTTCATTAAGCTGCTAAGCACAAAAGTTGGCATAGCACAGTATTGTCTTGCTCAGATAAAAAACAGGTTACCAGCCAAAAATCCATGTCATTTTATGATAAGCGAACATCAGCTGAACACCAGTCACAAGCAATATAAAACACATGAACATTTTGGTTGTTAATCTAGTTTTATATCAAGGGAAAAAAATCACGCTAGTGATTCATGAAATTGGCCCGGACCACTCACAAACACGACGTTCAAACTCACAAGCACGATACTCGAACTCACACGACGTTTGCAATTCACACACACGACGTTCATCATACTTTAGCGCCCATCCAATGGAAGCTTGCAATCTGTTTATGACGACGCAGTCACTGACAAACCAGGTCACGCTTCCGTTGTGCCAAATCCCTTTTACTTTCAAAGAATCGGGCAGGCGTAATTGAAAGTCCAACTGAACTATACATGAATAATCGATTGATGATGTTCCAACTGAAGACAGTTGCCTGCATTCATTCGTTAATGACCTGGAAGAGCATGATAAAACCAGACGGAACAGCGATTTGTAGTCAGTTGCTGTCTGGGGCGCAACCTGAGACAAACTCCGATTACAACTAATTGGTGTAGTGCGTTACTTTTTGTGTTGGTCGTTTGGGACGAACAGGACCTCATTCACTATGAAGACTCTTGCTGTCTTCTTGCTGATCTTTCCAATGGTGTTTGGATATGGGTTCCTACCCGGTAAGTTCTACAAATTGACAGTATTGCTATACTCTTGACAGTGTTGGGTTTATGAAGTGGGTTGTCGCACAAATGGATCAACGATGTTTCCTGGTATCTTAAAAGCACTGTCTCCGAGTTTTTGTGTAGTTCCATTTTTCTATAAAAACGTACACTGGGCCAGGTCTGAAGTTTTTTAAACGTTTTTGAGGGATTGAGATTCTTAGAAGTATATATTAGACAAACACAACTCTCATGCTGTTTTAATCACTACGGAACTACGCGATGGTAAAATGCCAGATAAAAGTGAATGACCTCTTCCATTGTGATCTCCCAATAGACGCATTTCCACCGAAAATGGACATTTCTGGCTGTGTTTGTGTGGGTGTGTGCAGAGGGGGGTTCAAGTTGGCAATGATGGACCCTTTTTTAGGAATCGAAAGCGCGAACACTTTAAACGCAGTACTATCCCCTTGCTTTGGGGTTGAGTATCTTACAGAAAAAAAAAATTGGACTGTCATTAAAAAATTTCCTTTTTGCCCTGTATCCAAAATGATATGCTATTGTACGACCCTAGGACCTCTTATGGGTTTTCAGTGCTATGTTTGTCGAATGCAGCTCAGTTCTGTCAAATCGGGATATATTTCCG